GCCTGAAATCACCTCTTTTGATGTACTGAATAGCCTATCAGTTTGTGCATTTTGAAGAATCGAGCATCAAGCTCGATGCCGATGTAAACCTTTTGAAACTCGGTTAAATATATCATACCGATGTAAGCATTGCAACACTCGGTCTAGCTGATGCCCCATAATATGTCCGAGTACCACCTATTCTCGGATGGGGGTAACGCTCGTCAAACGTCATTTCAACATACGTGATTTGACGGGCCCCGAATATTACCGAATACACAACATATAAAGTCGGTTGGGGCCATTCCATAATCGGACTTTGACGAAGTCCGGTGACTTTCATTTTGTTTCCCGTACAGCCCTAAAAATGTGTTGAGTTCTGCGAAGTTATTTGAAAACTCGCATATCGACTCACACTTGTGGCTGAAAGTCTTATAAACGACCAAAGTGGAATTCGGAAGTCATTTTTACAAAATCTTACGACTCGGATCATGATTTAAGTAATTCGGAGTTGAAACAGTTTATTTTCTAATGAAAACCGAATTCAGAACACTTGGTCAAAAAATTGCTGAAATTTGTACAGCAAACATACCATCAAAATCAAATATATGCAAACACTTCATATATAAATATATTTCGAGAAGTTTGGGAAATCCCTTACATATTTCCTACTAAGGGATTCGGCTATCCGACATCCCCGGTTACATATCATAAACGTTCGAATATTTCCTACTAAGGATGCCGACATGCCGGCACCCCGATTACCTTATGCAAATCAGCAAACAAAATATAGCTATAAAGAAAAAAGACAGAAAATCAGTTTCAGACTTCGTCGGTTGGCTTCTCCACATTCTCCCCGGTGCCGCTGCTTTCTCCAAATTCGGTCCCTGAAGACAATCGCTCCAAGACCTGTGATTCCTTCATCTTGGCAGCAGCTTCAATGGCCCCGTCTGGCACCAGAATAAAATCGTCGCGAGGGTCAGCTAATGTCTCCGCATCGTCTCCAACCGGTGTGACCACTTTTACAATTTCCACCTCCTTATCGGCCGACTTCGTCTTCTCTTCAATGTAAGCTTTGACTCGGCTCTGAATCTGCTCCGGAGTCATGTCGTCGAAGTGCTGTTCGACCTCCACCTCGGCCAAAGTTGAAAGGTACACATTGGCCAGCTCCTTCCTTTTCTCCTTCTCCTCCTCCAAGATCATGTTGACATAAGCAC